GAGAAACAAGAATGCTGTTCCAGCGAACTGTTTTTAGTCTATCTTTGAGCTACTAAAAATGGTGTTTAAAAAGAGATTCAGATTTCGTGTTCTCATGAAAAATGTTTGTTAAGGACTTGTTTATGACATATTCAAATTTGAGAATTTTCGGAGTCCATTTAGTATGATTTCAAGTCCAATTTCGTGAACAGTGCAAAGCTGTCCGGTTTTGTCGGATTTCAAAGATTCAGCATTTTCTATACGAGAACGTTGGAATTTGGACTTGGTGTCTTCTGGTGATTTAAAATACACGTTCTAAGCTTTCAAATGAGATATTTTATGCTTTAATTGGAAGTCAAATGAATGGGGAAGATATGAAAACGAAATTAACCAAGTCAAGGGTTAATCTTCTTGTGGAAGTCACATTTATTGGTCCAAGCTTATCACCTTCATCATGGCTTTTGGCTTATGTTCTTAATGGCCATGTGAGGTAAGCAATGACCTCATGCTTCACATGACATATGCCATGACTTCACCCTAAACTTTGGCCCCAAGTTTGTCTCTCTATAAATAAAAAGAAAGGCCATTCGGCCAAAAAGGAGAGAGAGAGAGAGGCCATTCGGCCAATAGAGAAAGAGAGAGAGAGAGAGAGAAGCTAAGGGATAAGATCCTATTTAATGCCTTAATTGCTATTCATCATGACTTTTGACTATTGTGCATTAATGGACATTAATGCTTGGCTTCTTCTCCAAGCCTATTTGGAGATAAAGAAGCAAGAAGCCTCACGTGAAATCCCCCACCCCCTTCTCCTCTCTCACGCCAACCTCACCATCATCTTCTTCTTCCTTAGTTTCTTGTTTTTCTCACTTTGGCCGAGAAGCTCACGCCCAAAACCAACCCCGAACCGGCCCGTGTTCCTACTCGTTCCCATCCAAGAGCCACGGTTTGGCCTTGGTAGGCCTCGTCTTGGTCGGCCAAGCAAGAAGGAAGCAAGGAGAAAGCCCGAAATTTCCCGAGCTCGCCCGTCTCGAACCCCGTTCTCTAGTTTTGTTTGTCGTTGAGTAAGTGAATTCCCTAATATCGGGAAAGGAAGTTGCGATACGTTGTAACATGGGTTGGTTGGCCCGTTTCTTGGTTTCATGGTTGTTTGTTGTTTCTCATCTAATGATGTTCACGTGTGATACTCACGTTTGATGTTTGTTTGGTTGATTTCGTAGCATGACTTTGCTATTTGAAATGCCATTGATGCCGGTACGATAAGAATTGACTTGTGTGAACGACGATTGTCTCGTCCTCGCTTGATATTAGTGTTTTCACTTGCTGAGTCTCCCCGACTCATCCTCCGTTTTTTCCCCTTTTTCAGGTCCGTAGGATGGCATCTCCCTCAGCCCGCGTTGGCAATCCCGTGGAGCAGCGAGCCGAAGTGCTCACCGTGATAGATGTCAGAGAAGACCGTGCCTATCGCCGAATCACGATGCTTGTGACGATACGATGAGGGCCTAACGGACTTGGTGCCTCATCCGTACGTAGGTTCAACGGTGCCTTAGCGATGTGGGCGGGCCGGCTCCGGGATAAAGCCACGGGTGGGATGTGAGATGGCCAGGCGGACGGGACCGGGGTGGAGATGAAGAAGCGAGGAGCGAGAAGCCATAGTGGGTATAGGATAACCCAAGTCAAGATTTGCTATTCATAGCCCGTTATGAAATATGTGTTGTTTGTCATGGCCCGAAGGGCTTGTTAAAACATGTTTGTATGCATTGTAAACATAAGGTTTGCTCATGATGCTGTTTGTCTTATTTCCGCTGTGTATATTGATTGTGATTGTCCCGTGATATGCTTTCGCCTGTGTGTAACGAAATTTAATAATGAACGGGACGTCGCATGAATGACCCCAAGGTAGGGGCGTCACATTTGGTATAGGTTTAGGGTCATTCGTCAATTCATTTTGTGGTCCAGCGGAATCACCCGCGATCCACTAATGTGACAGTAGCGAACTGATCCCTAGCTATCCTTGGATCGGCCTACAGTGGCTCAAAATGTCTCCTTGACAATTTTCATGGTCGAAAGTCGGTTCATGATCGAGTTCGTTGGTCGCACGATTTTAAATCCCTAATTAGCCTTTCCCTAATGGTTAGTATTCCCGAAGTGATCAATTCCGGGCGAGATCTAACTACAAGCACGTCCATAAACTACTCATTTCATAAATCCCAAGTGGGTCGGATTTCAGAATGTCACATTTATCCACTATATTTAGGTTTTCGGCCAACTTGAAGCTTCATGGCTTAACATGTAAGACAATTCATACAACTAAATACGTAGACCCTAGGTGGTTCTAGTAAAGGGTTGTTTGCAACCCATTCTGCTTGTGTTTTGTCTACGGGTTGATTTACCAAAAAAGAAATAAACAAGATGCTGACCAATTGTAAATATAAATATGAAGCCATAGAAAGTTCAAGATATCCAGAGTCTAGATTCTTCAAGGCAGAGTTGGCAGGGAATTCCAGGTAACTCCTAACAGACCAAAACTGAATAAATGGAAGAACACAATAGAGAAGAACCAATATCTGAACCATAGCAATTTTATAATTTATCTTACCACAAGATCAAGTCCACAAAAGGTTGCCATAGCCCCTCCCATAGAATGGCCTGTCACCATGACGTTGATGTCTCCATATGAATCCTTGGCTCTTACAACAGCATCCAAAATACCAGGTCGAATTATCATATTGTGATAAGCATAATAAAATCCATCATGAACCTAAGCACAGCATAATAAAATCCATCAATAGAATTAGACTGTAACTCAATCCAAATAAGAAGTATCCACAAGTTGCATGAGGCTTATCATCTCTACAACTCACCCTAGCACCAGGCATGCCAAGGTAGTTTATGTCAAGCCGTTTCCAGTAGACCTTCAACCCAATTCTGTATGTTGTAGACATAACTAGAAGTAATCACTAACTGAAAAGCTCAAATGATAAAGAGAGGTGATAAAAATATTCACAGAACAAAATTAGTGAAGTATGCAATCTCCTCTTGACTCCATCTAAAATTACAAGAAAGTAACTTTCATGTCTTGGTGGAAATGATTCACCCTTTTTCCGTTCATATAGACTACATACCCATGTGCCTTGTGTTTGCATTCATTAAGGCTTCTCTTCTCGGAAGAGCCCCTCTCTACCTTTTGGGCTAGCTCAAAACCCTAACTGACCCTAAAACCCTAACCCTTTTCAACCCAATGCACTAAAAACTCTAACCCCTTTCCATCCCTACCCCAAATCCTCCCTTCCTATTTGGTTTTGTCGGATCTTTAAGCTTGAATCCTTTTAGCTTGGCTGCCATGGATGAAGCTAAAAACTCATAGCAAAGATTGGCGTTCCTCTGCAAACAATTAGGGAGAATGTGATCAGCAAACATCATCAAGCCAATGGAGAATATGGCCTCCATGGATAAACTGAAGGAATGTAAATGCTTTCTCCTCGGACAGCTACATACAAACCCAAAGATTAACTTCCAGGCATTTCAAAATACAACGAGGAAAGCATGGAGGTTAGATAGTGTGGAAATCATCCAGCTACAACCTGGTATATTCTGTTTGACTTTTGATATTGAGACTACCAAGAACAAGGTACTGGACTCAGGTCCTCGGTCCTTTGCAAACCATCTGCTTGTCTTAAAACCATGGGAGCCGAATATTGCCCCCCAATGCTATGACTTTAGTTTGTGTGATTTCTGGGTTCATATTCATGGGCTGCTATGTGAATGGACCACGGAAGATGCAGTTCGCCGGATTGCAAGCGATATTGGAGTGGTCTCGGCTGTTAAAATCGAAACAAAAGGAAATGCCTCTATCAAAATAGGAAAAGTAAGAGTGAAACTGAACCTATCGTCTCCTCTACAGTCGGGCTTTATTATCAGCAACGAAGGGAAGAAAGTTTGACTTTAAGTATGAGAGGCTACCACACTATTGTTACTCTTGCGGAAAGACAGGTCACTATACTACCTATTGTGAGGAGGTGCCGTATAACGAAGAAAATTTCACTATAGAGAATGGATGTATGTTTGGCTCGTGGCTAAAGACTGAGGATCAAGAAAATAGCCCTTTCTGGAAGATTTTTTATGGGAGTAAGGAAAAGGCTAACAGTGAAGAAGAAGTTGTCCCAGAAACTCCACCAAACCCGGGACAGATGGTGCTATATGAACCAAGGACCTCCGGCCCACAGAAGCAACCAAATAGCAACAATGTGGGGAAGGGAAAGGAGATACTTACTGTAGATTACTAATTTGAGGTGCAGGATAGTCAAATGACCGAAGCAATCCCACCTTATGTCACGGATCCTGCACAAACAGAGGTAATTAAGACCCTAGTCCTAGTTTCTCAGAAGAAAAAGCTTTGTGAAAAGAAAATTCCAGTTGGTAAGAAAGCAAGGAGGTACAACCCCTATGATACTCAGCAACCTAACATGTCGGTACTTGATGAAACCCAATTACTTGATGCCCCCTATCCAATTGGCATCAGAGAATGAATGATGGGCTGTGGTGGCTAGCCCGTGTAAGCCATCGGGTTACACATGAATTTCCTGTGTTGGAATTATTAGAGATTGGGCACACCCCTGACAATTCAAGCCATCCAAGCCCTAGTGGCTGAGGGGAGGCCCAGTTTGCTCTTCTTGATGGAAATAAAAAATCAAGAAGGAGTGGTATTTTGTTTAAAACAATGTTTGCAGTATCAGAACTTATTTGTGGTGAATCCAGTAGGGATCGCAGGGGGGTTGGCACTCTTCTGGGATGATAGAATCTCGGTTACAATGGAGTCACACTCTTCACACTTTGTGAATGTGATTAGGGAGCAAATAGAAAGTAGGCGGAGAATGCGTATCACCTTTCTTTACGAACCAAACGATTTTCAAGCGAGACTTCACCTTTGGGGGGAATTGTACCAGATAAGTCACTCAAACAACCTTCTATGAGTTTGTGTTAGGGATTTTAATGAAATTCTTTACCTTTGGGAAAAAGTTGGAATGCGTTTGATGGAGAATTACCAAATGAAGGCTTTCAGGGATTTCTTAGATTCTTGCTGTCTCATGGACCTAGAGAGCAAAGGGTGTGCATATACATGGGCTAACAATAGGGAGGGGGATGCATATGTGAAGAAACGACTAGACCGAGCGGTATGTTCTATGGAGTGGAGAGTCGCTTTTACGGAAGTAGAGGTTTATGCATTTTCGGCTATTGGTTCCGACCATAGCCCGTTATTAATTTCTCTCTCCCTAGGACACGCAAAAAGGAGAAAGGAATTTAAGTTTGAAGATTTTTGGCTGGAAGAGGCTGAATATGGGGAAATAGTAAGGGATGCTTGGCTGAAGGCAGAAGATACAAATCAAAACTTGTTGATAAAGCTTAAAAGAGTTTCTGGTGAACTAGAAGTTTGGAGTAAAAGCAAGTTCACAAATGCTCATAAAAGAATCAAGAGCCTGAAGAAGGAAATCCAGAAACTTACAAACCATCCGAGTGGAGGGCAGGACCGAGAAAGAGTCCAATCGCTGAAGGAAGAAATAGAAAAATTATGGAGGTAGGAAGAAATGTACTAGGGATTAAGATCGAGAATAAATTGGTTAAAGTGGGGAGACAAAAATACAAAGTATTTTCATGCCACCACCATACAAAGACGGCTGAGGAACATAATTACAATGCTAAGATCTGAAAATGAGGAATGGACACAAGATGTTGACCAATTAAAGCAATCAATAGGGAATTTCTTTCGGAACCTTTATACTTCGGAGGGCCTCCACAGCTTTCAACTAGTGTTAGAAAATTGTCACAGCTTGGTTGGAGAAGAAATAAACTGATGTCTAACAATTGAGGTGACACTAAAGCACTAGAGGAAGTAAAGGCAGCAGTTTTCCAGTTGGGATCCACTACGGCACTAGGGCTAGATGGACTAAATGGGCAATTCTATTAACACTTTTGGGAAGAGGTTCAGCAGAATGTATTCAAGGAGGTGCAGAATTTCTTTAAGTCTGGAATGTTAAATCCAGATTTAAACAAGACTCATATCTCCCTTATTCCCAAAGTACCTAACCCAGAGAGATTGGAACAGTATCACCCTATAAGTTTGTGCAATTTCATTTATTAAATCATCTCAAAAGTCTTGGCTAGTAGACTAAAGCCTTGGCTTCCATATTTGATATGTGAAGAGCAAAGTGCCTTTATTAGTGGACGACATATCCAAGACAATATCCTAATTGTCCAAGAGGTGCTTCATCAGCTAAGGGTGAGAAAGAGGAAGAGAAAGTTCCAGGTGGTGCTGAAACTAGATATGAAAAAAGCGTACAATCGACTAGAGTGGGATTTCATGGAAGCTTGCTTGCTGAAATTTGGTTTTTGCACAAAATGCGTAAATTGGATAATGCAATGTGTTTCCACGATGACTTTCAGTGTTAAATTTAATAGAGAGCCCTTGCCCTACTTTCAACCTTCGAGGGGTATCCAACAAGGTGATCCGTTATCCCCCTATCTATTTATATTGGTTGCCAATGTGTTGTCTTTGTTGATGAAAAAAGCATGGGGGATGGAAACATCAAAGGAATTCATTTTAACAGTTATTGCCCCACTTTATCCCACTTGTTATTCGCGGATGACTCGATATTCTTTCTAAATGGGACAAGAACTGAATGCCAAAATATTGCTTCAGTTTTGAATCAATACTGTTTTGCTTCTGGCCAAGCAGTCAATTTAAACAAGTTGGGAATCTTTTTCGGTAAGGAGTGCCCATAGAATTTGAGAAGAAATATGGCGGACCAACTGAGGGTCCCAGAGATAGAAATAATGGGCAAATATTTTAGGCATTCCATCTTATTGGGGGAAATCGAAAAAACAGATGTTCGCTTGGATTACCATGAGAGTAAACAAGAAGCTTGAAGGTTGGAAGGAAAATTTGATATCGAAAGCGGGAAAGGAAGTCCTCATTAAATCAGTAGTACAAGCATTACCTCAGTATGCAATGTCGATTTTCCAAATTTCAGTCTCCATTTGCCAAGCTATTGAGAAAAAGATAGCTGCGTTCTGGTGGAAAAACAACGAAAAGCAAAATGGTTTGCATTGGAAAAGGTGAGAAACCTTGAAGTATAGAAAGGATGTCGGAGGCCTTGGGTTTGGAGATCTATTGACTTTCAACAAGGCTATGTTGGGAAAACAAGCATGGAGGATTTCACAAGATCCTTCGTCTTTTTGGAGTCGTTTTCTAAAAGGAATATATTTCTCAAAAGAGAATTTTTGGCGTCCTAGGAAAGGAAGCAGACCTTCTTGGGGATGGCAAAGCCTCGTTATTGGAAGAGATGCCATACAACCATCGATCAAATGGGTAGTTGATAATAGGGAAAAGATTTACATCAGAGAAGACATATGGTTTAAACGGGGATTGATTGGTGGACCCTCGAACAAAAACGGACCTACAATGGTGTCGGCTATAATTATAAAGGAAGAGGCATGCTGGAATGAGCTACTGGTACAAGAACTTTTTGATCCATATATCAGCAATGAAATCTTAGCTACTGCCCTGGGGAGTCAGAAATGGAAGATAGAATGGTGTGGACACCTACAAAATCAGAAAGTTTCACAGTGCATATAAAGAAGCAGAGAGAAACAACCAACCAAGCTTCAGAAAAGGCATCGACCTCTCATCAGACCCCCAAATCACTGTGGATGAAGATATGGCAATCGCACACCTACCCAAAATAAAAAAAATTCTATGGAGCACTTGGCAAAATGCCCTCGCTACCAAGAATAATCTATTCAAAAGGACATCTTACCTCATCCCCTCTGCAGCATTTGTAATCAAAGCCCTGAAACAGTAGAACATGTTCTCCTTCTTTGCCCATGAACGAGGAAAATCTGAAAAAATACAGCTCTGAACATTAATGTCTCCGCCCAAGGTTTATTGCAATTTGAAGTATGGTTAGCTAAATTTAAACATACGTCGGTCACTTTTGAGCTTCTAGCATTTGTTCTTTGGCAAATCCAGAAGGCTCGAAACCGCTCTTTTTTTCGAGCGCAAAAGCCAGATCCAGAGGAAGTAGTGGATGAAGCCACTGCGATGCAACGAAATCTCAATCGGTGGCTCCCTAGGAAGAAGAAACTATAACAGCAGCAAGCTTCTGCCTCCATCAATGGCGGCCACTAGAACCGGGAGAAATAAAAATTAACATCGATGGAGCTCACTTGGCCGGAACGAACGAAGTTACAGTGGCGGGTGTCTACCACGACAACTCTGGGAAGTTAATTGATGCCTTTGTGCGATCTATCAAGGCGTTTTCATCAGCTCAGGCAAAGGCGCAAACCATGGTGGAAACCCTAATGTACTTCTCAACGCAAACTGAAGTCTCACTTAAAGTGGAGTGAGACCGTTCTAATCTGATCAACGCACTCACTTGCGAAGCGCAGATCAATTGTGAAGTACAAGTCCTTATCAAAAAAGCCCACTCGCTCCCCAAATCATTCAAGGATATAAAGTTAGCCCATATTAATAGAAAGTCCAATAGAATTGCTGATTGGGTTGTTAAGGCAAAAGAAGTGTATCCACATACTTATTTCAAGTAACGAAAGTCGTTTCCTTTTTCTGACCAAAAAAAAAATTATGAGGGGAAGAATTGCTAGAGTTAACATGCATACCTATGTTCTTGAGTACCTCTAAAAGCTATAACCATAGCATTAAGGTCCTTGGCCACCCCAACATATGCCTACAGGAATGTATGTATATATTATTGGTTTAGAAATAAGAACAAACAATTAGATGCAATTCAAACATGGAGGCATCACAAGCATCCAAATTGATAGGCCACTGTAACATGAATTATATACGTGTAAGCAGTGCTAAACGTCAACTATCAGTTCAATGACTTCGAAACCCTGCTTTTAGATCAAAAAGGCATTAATAACCAGTTCAAAAGCTCATAAGACAAGACAGCGTATGCCCACAAAATCTTCTCATCTCAAGAATTGGCTATTTAGTATTGAGGATCCACTCTTCACTCAACCTTAGCAACAATGTTATATTACAACGTAGTCAAATTACCTTGGTCTTTCCATCACATCTAGGACATGTCCAACTAAAAAATTCTGTCAAATCTGACAAGTAAACCTACAAAATAAAAAGCTTTGCATTAAATTACAAATGTATTGCATTGAGTTGATGAAACCTAATGCGTAACAACAAGAAGCTGTAGGTAAATGTGAATTTTTTTTAAAGAACACTTACGGCAGATGCATACTCCACCAATATCGTGGCAAGAGTGTGATTGTAAACAGCTTTATGAGCCTTTGACCTCACTCTAAGTTCTGCATTTACCAGTAGAGATAATTTCAAATTGAAATGCGGTCACAAGCTCATTCAATTAAAAGCAATGAAGCAACTTTCTTACGTCTCTTGCAAGCTATTTTGACAAATCAAGTGAGGGGACCACTTTAAGAAAAAATCAACCCAAAACAACATTCAGTATATTTTTGCGGTCGTTCGTGAACTGAAAGAACTATTTACACAATCCCATGCGATGAAAGGGGAATAAGAAAACAACAAAAGGCTCCACTTTCCCACAAAGCTACTCCACTGAAAACTACAGGCTACGAACCATTACTCAACTGAACAAAAGCTGAATAGCCGATATTCGATCACTCTAAGACACTCAACAAATTTTATCCTCAAAGTGGAAAAAGCAGAATTTGAGATTTGTATCGAACAGATAAAAGGAAATTCGATCACCATATTCCAGGCGGAGCATGGATCGGAACTTGGCAATCTAAGGGCTTAACAAAACCAACCAGATGTAACACAACGCTCGTCAGTTATATGTTGTGAAAACATCCAATTTTACACTAGAGGGATCATTCACTACGATCTTTGTCTGTATTGCACGAATTCAATCTACCGCCATGGAGGGCAGTTGAAAGCTACAGCGATTTGGGGCAAAGGAAGCAGGGGACGACGAATTTACAGTCTTTCCTGATTTGCCCTCGGGATCTTCTTCTGCTGGTGGGTACATTCGGTGTCAGATTCCGTGATTTCGTCATTTGCGTGAGGGCACCGAAGGAAGTTTTGCTAAGATAGGAACGTTCAGAAAGACTTGCACGGCGATTTCTTGCGTTGTATTTTAGCCTTGACAAAGTGAGACGTGCTTTTTTGGACAAACTTGGGTTCCTTTGATGTCTCCACATTAGCATTTTGACTCGGGACTGGTTCAATTAGTTGGTTCCAACTTGAATTCTAAAAGATGCACTAAGAGTAAAGTTAATATTATTATCTATTGTGGAGGTATATGAAAGTGTGATTACTCCACTATGATGGCAAGCTTCTCGAGTTAAATATTTTCAAATTCAAGCTCGAATTGATCTACTAACCCGAGCTCTTCAAATTTGAAAAGAATGTAATTCAACCTAAGTGCCTGGCAAGTAGAGTTTAATTACGAGACGTGCCACCTCTCTTGGGTTGGAGAGACAATTTGATAACGTGACTTGCTATGACGCAACGATTCTTGAATACTCTCCAAACGACTTATATTGAATTGGATACAATAGTTTTTCATTAGATAAATTAACTCCGATTTTGAGTTGGGTCATTTCGTTTAAAAACTTATGGACTATTTACAAAGCGACTACGATCAGAAATCACGGCATTTGTTATCCCATAATTGCTCGATTGGAGATATGAATTGTACGATCATCGGGGTTAAATGTTTTACATGTAAAAGAACACGAAATACAAGAAAAGGCGCCCATAAACTTCGAGAACAGAAGAAAAATGAAAAGCCAAAAACAATTTAAAACAAAAATACGAAAAAACGCAAACCCTCCTCTGCTTTCTCCGATCAAAACGATCACGATTCTCCCACCATTCAGTCCAACTCTATCTTCCTCCCTTTTTAATTTCGGATCGTCCCTCGGATTCTGATTCGGCCTCTCTCCCTCTCTCTAGCACAAACAGTGACGACCTCAACTGATCGATCGACCGATCTCCGCTGAAACCGGTTTTCAGCACCGCCATGGCGAGACCCTAGAAGCAGCGGGTGTCGTATGATGAGGCCCTGTCCGACGGCTCCGACGAGGAGGAGGAGCAGCAGCTCAACGATTGTCGGCTAACTTGCTAGACGTTGACTTTGTTCGATTTTTTTTTTTTTTTTTTGGTCAGCAAACATTATATCTTATACTCATTCAAGTAAAAGTTTGCGACAATATACAGGCTTCAGAACAAAGCAATTCCAAAAGACAAGTAGGGGGATAAGCGATCCAATTAACCGGTAAATATTTATTACGGTGGGCTTTGGCGACCCAATCCGCAACTTGATTACTTTCTCTTCGGCAATGGGTCATCTTTAAATTGCTGAATAGCTTTGCGCGGGCCTGGGCTTCGGTGATCAATGCATAAGCTTCCCAACTCACTTGATCTGCTCCCTCGCTCATCATCTCCACCAGATCAGTTCGATCTGTCTCTAACACGATCTTCAGTTCACTTTTTGCTTCAAAATGTTTTAGGGCTTCAAGTACAGCAGCGGCCTCCGCCTGAATCGCCGACGAGACTGTTACCGATCGAGCAAACCCATCTATCAAGATACCCCGGCTGTCTCGACATACACACGCAATGGCCCCTTCCCCTGTTTCGGCAACAAAAGACCCATCTACGTTAATTTTAATCACCCCGGGAGGAGGAGGGGTCCAAATCGGAGGTAATTCTTTCTGTGTTTGCGGTTTTCCATTCGTTTTCTCTGACCATTTGCTGAGGTTTTTCTCCGTGGCGATGGCTGAGATGACGATGTGTTGGGGGTTTAACTTATGAGCTCTGAATACCAAGTCGTTCCGAGATTTCCAAATCTGCCATAATAATAAAGCAAGGAGCTCAAAGGATACAGAGGTATGTTTAAAATTCAGCAACCATTCCTCTATCCGAGTCACTGCGTACCTATCAACTTCAATATTTACTGATGGGTTGTTCCATATTTGCTGAGTCCAGGGGCATAGCAGAAACAGATGCTCTATGGATTCTGGATGCTGTTGACATATCAAGCAAGTGGCTTCAGGTATGATCCGTCTTCGAACCAGATTCTCCTTAGTTGCGAGGGCGTTTTGGCAAACTTGCCAAAGAAAAAATCTGATTTTGGGTTGTAATTTTGCCTTCCAAATTCTATTCCATAATTCTCTGGGGGTTTGGTTTGGTGTTTCTTTTTGTGCTTTGATGTTGTTATACGCACTCTTCACTGTGAACTGCCCTGTTTTGGTTGGTGTCCACACCAATTTGTCCTCTGGAAGTTGGGGGTTAATGGGAATGGCTAAAATTTCCTGGGTTGTTTCAAAGTCAAACACCTCTCTCACCCTGTTTTCATTCCATTTGGCTTCCTCCCTGACCATTAGTTCGGATACCCGAGTTGGATCCTCTCTGTTCGCAGCCCTCCAATGAAGCCTCTTGACAGCCACTTATCTTCCCTTATGTTGATTTTCTCACCATTTCCAACCACCCATCGAATTGATCGACTGATTACATTACGGCCTAAAATCAAGCTTCGCCATCCCCATGAGGGACTTGAACCTTTTTTTGCATGTAATAAATCTGTATGAGGATAATACAATCCTTTAAAAAGCCGACTCCAGAGAGAGTATGGATTCTGGATTAGTCTCCATGCCTGTCGCCCCAACATTGCCTCATTAAATGTAATTAAGTCTCGAAAACCTAGGCCACCTTCATCCTTTCTTGCTTTAAGAGTGTCCCAGTTTTTCCAGTGTAACCCCCTCCTGTTTTCAGAATTTTTCCACCAGAAAGCTGCAATTTTCCTTTCAATAGTTCGACAAACGGATAGGGGGATTTTGAATATGGACATTGCATACTGCGGTAGAGCCTGCACCACTGTTTTAAGGAGGATTTCTTTCCCTGCCTTAGATAAGAAATTTTCTTTCCAACCTTCCAGTTTCTTATTGACTCTATCGAGGATCCAAGCAAACATTTGTTTTTTTGAGCAGCCCCAGTCGGATGGTATTCCCAAATACTTCCCTGTCTTCTCTATCTCAGGAACTCTCAGCTCGTATGTCATATTGCTTCTCAATTCCCTTGGGCAGTCTTTACTGAAAAACATACCTGACTTGTTCAGATTTAGTGCTTGTCCAGACGCAAAACAGTATTGATTTAGAACCGCTGCTACATTTTGACACTCAACAATCTTTCCTGCAAGGAAGAGTATTAAATCATCCGCAAAAAGTAGGTGAGATAAAGTTGGGCAGAAGTGGTTTAATTTGATCCCTTTGATACTTCCATTTCCCACCTCTGTTTGCAACAAAACAGATAGCACATTAGCCATAATGATGAAGAGGTAGGGAGAAAGGGGGTCACCTTGCCTTATTCCTCTAGTAGGATGAAAGGTAGGTAAAGGGTCCCCATTCATTTTAACACTGTATGAGACTGTGGAGACACATTTCATAATCCAGGAGACCCATGTTTCGCAGAATCCCATTCTCAGCATACTCGCTTCCAGAAAATCCCATTCCACCCGGTCATACGCCTTTTTCATGTCTAATTTGAGCACTGCATGGAATTTCTTTTTCTCTTTCGAATTCGGAACTGATGGAGTACCTCATGTACTATCAATATATTGTCTTGAATTTGTCGCTCACTAACAAAGGCGCTTTGCTCCTTGGCTATGAATTTCGGGAGCCACGGTTTCAATCTATTAGCCATAACTTTTGAAATGATTTTGTAAGCGAAATTGCACAAGCTTATAGGGCGAAACTGATCTAGCTTCTCTGGATTAGGAACTTTAGGAATGAGGGTAATAAAGGTTTTATTTAATTCAGGGTTAAGATTTCCTGAACTAAACAAAAGTCTTACTTCCCTGAATACTTCATTTTGGATGTCCTTCCAGTGATATTGAAAAAATTTTCCACTCAAGCCATCTGGTCCGGGGGCCTTTAAGGCACCTAGCTGGAAGGTTGCCTTAGTAACCTCCTCAAGAGTTACTTCCCTAGTTAAATCCTGGTTGACCTCTTCACTTATTAAGCATGGGATCTGATCGAGTACTGGTTTGAAATCTCGAGCCCCTGTTGTAGTGTATAGCTCTTTGAAATAGTTGACTGTCATGTGTTTCAACTGGTTGGGCTCTCGAATCCATTCATCATTTTCATTTTTCAGCATTGCTATTTTGTTTCGCTGCCTCCTCTGCACTGTAGTTGCATGGAAATATTTCGTGTTTTTGTCCCCCCATTTAAGCCAATTAATCCTGGATCTCATTCCCCAATAAACCCCCTCTTGTCTCCACAATCTTTCCACTTCCATTTTCAGCCAATTCAACCTTTCTTTATCAAAGTTTAGGTTTGGACTATTTGTAATCTCTTGTATCTCTTTTTTCAACAACGAAATTTGTTTTTCAGCATTTGAAAACCTCCTCTTACTCCACCCAACCAACTTGTCAGCCACCTTTGTCAATCTAACTGATAAAGCCACTGACTCTCCTTGAAAAGAATTCCAAGAGTCTGATACTATCTGCCCATACTCCTCATCTTCGATCCAAAATACTTCAAATTTGAATTCCTTTTTTCGTTTACCATACTCCGGAAACAGATTCAATAAAATTGGGCTATGATCCGACCCAATAGCAGGTAACGCAAATGCCTCCGCATTAGGGTAAGAAACCCTCCAGTCTATGTTGCACACCGCTCTATCCAGTCTCTCCTTAACCAAAGCTTCCCCTTCTCTATTATTGGCCCAGGTATAGGTACAACCCTTGCTTTCTAAATCCATAAGAGCGCAAGCATCCAAAAAGTCGTGGAAGGCTTTACTTCTGTAATTCTCTGCCAATCTCTTCCCAACTTTCTCCCAGTGATACAGGATCTCATTAAAATCTCCAACACACAGCCAAGGATCTCGGTTTAAGCGACTAATTTGTTGGATTCTGTCCCACAGTCTTAATCTGTCTTGAAAATCAGTAGGTGCATGTACGAAGGTAATACGCATTTTCTGTTTGTTCTCTCCCATAACACAAAGCACATCAACAAAATATGTGGAGCTAGAGTCAATAGAAATAGTAACTTGTTCATTCCAAAATACTGCTAATCCCCCAGCCAAGCCAATTGGGTTCACTATGAAGCATTCTCGAAACTGTAATTTTCGCTGCATTCTTTTAACGACGTCTTCTTTATTTTTCGTCTCCATTAAGAACAGGATAGCGGGCTTTTCTTGAGCCACGAGGGCTCGAATAGCCTGAATTGTCAGGGGTGAGCCCAACCCCTGACAATTCCAACAGATTAACCTCATTTGTACCCCGGTGGCTTATTAGGGCTAGCCACCAAAGCCCGAATTTGAGCTTCTTCCATAGTCTGGATGGGAGTGTCCAATAACCGCTTCTCATCTAGCGCCTCTTTGCTAGATAGCTGCAATTTATATGGGGAATACCTCTTCTGCTTCTTACTCATGTTAGCCTTGTGACCTTTGCATTTTTTCAGTTTCTCGACAACCAATGGTCCTTGCTGGTTACAACCTAAAAGTACCCCTGTGCCACCTTGCAATTCTGATGCAGGATCCAGCATTGTCTTGTCAATGTCTTCCCTAATTATTTCCTCCATCATGACTTTCTTGCCCTTTGCGGCGGCACTACTGCTGCTTTCCATCTCCGGAGTACCCTCATACACCACTAGCTGCCTTGAATTCTCTGGTGTCTCAGGTATAACATCTTCTTCCATTAGTTCTTCTATCTTCTTTCCATAAAATAGATCCCAGTAGGGGCTGAATTCGTTTGCCTCCGCCTTTAACCATGAACCAAAGGGTAATTCTTTCCTATTTGCAAAACGGTCTTCGGTGAAAGGAACTTCTCCACAATGTTGTGCATAATGTCCCAATCTTCCGCATGAATAACAATAGTGAGGGAGTCTTTCATACCTAAAGTTCAGCCACAACTTCTTCCCCCTATTGCTAAACATCGATCCCGGTAAAAGAGGAGCCGAGATGTCCACAGAAACTCTTGCCTTTCCTACTTTGTAGGCTGTATACCCCCTGGTTTCAATTTTAATATCTGAAACAATACCTATTTCTTCTGCCACTTTTTCTATGACACTCTCGGAGATCCATTCTGTCGGCAATCCATGTATATGGACCCAAAACGTGCACGACTTAAAATTGTAACAAGCAGGAGGAGTGTCCGGCTCCCACGATTTGAGCAAGAGTAGATGATTCACAAAAGACCAAGGGCCTTGCTCGAGAACCTTATCTCTATCCGTTTCCGACCAGAATCGAAACTCAAAGATGCCTGGGGCGATCAGAGATATTTTCACATTCTCCATTTTCCAAACCCTACGCATTGTATTCTGAAATGCCTGAATGTTTATCTTAGGGTTTTGGTAGAGTTGGCCGATTAAAGATAACTGACATTCCTTTATCTTTTCTGCAGAAATCGCCTCATCCACTGCTTTAATCTTCCTCTTCGACCACAGTCCTCCTAGTCTCTTACACAAGGCAGCAAGACGAATTTCAGACTCCTCTGACTCCTCCATGAAGTGGGCTGGAGATTTTCAGTAAAGGGTTGTAATAACGGGTGAAGAGTGGTTGAAGTAAACAGAGGATGCTCAGAATTATGATTCAGGGATAAAATGTAGAAGATAAGAAAAGGGTGAGGATTTAGAATGGAAGTAGGGTACTGGATTTAGGGTGGGAAGAAGATTTGTTGGAATGGTTTCTGTGTATCAGCCATTGTTTCGAGCAAATAGAAGGAAAACGGTAGGAAGTAGTCTGCTGGTGAGAGGGGATTAGGGTGTGAGGATGATTTGGGTGAAGAGCGCTACCCGACGGTCGAGAAAGCTTTCCAGCGAGAGAGAAAGATCAAGCTCACAGTACCTCAATAGTTTCAGGCTATTATATCCACAACAACTGCCACGAACTCTACTGACGTAGCCACAGAGAGACACAAAAAAGAAGAATCCCAGCTTATCTTTCTATCAAGCATTTTGTCGAACACTAGATCTGCACGTGGAAGTAGCGTCCGATTATCAAAGGATTGAGGGCTCGATCAAGGCGGTGATGAACTAGAAGAGTCAAGCATCAACTGAGAATGCTTGGTTTCAAGACGCATCAACTAGTAACAACGAACTGAAACCAGCAGTGAAGAAGGAACTGTAACCACGGATGGACAACGACTCAAATTAAATGATATGGCTCTGGGCGGAAGTGGAAGCACAGAGGCGTAGGGTGGTGTAGACGATGGAGGATTGGAGGGGCAATGGTTGATGGGGAAGGACTCTCATATCGAAATCGAGAGAGGAAGCTCCCATAGAAGGGAGAGAAAAGCTCGAGAAAACGCCCGAGAGCTAGTACGAAAAATAGGATTCACTTTGTTCGATTCGCATGCTGGTTTTAAGGGACAAACATCAACATTCTCTGTCTTAAAGGGAAAATACATCTAAAAACTACCAAGATGGAAGGGAAAGTCTGACATGGTACTGCCTTAAAAGGGATTGCTGTATGACCTTTATTCAGTTAGATCAGGCGGACCTTTGGATGTCGAAATGGTGCTGTTAGATGCTGGATTTCAGGTACATGTGAATTTAGAAAGATTGATCTCCAACACATCCCAAAGGAGCCTGGTAAAAAGGAATGTTTGAGAATACCCTTGATTGATGGGACATCAATAAAGCATATGCCTGAATGTCAAGGATTGAAGAGTCTACTAATTCTCAGTGCTTGCCACCGTTCCTCACTGACCACAAAACCTTCAATCGGTCAGCTAACTTCCTTATCGAGGCTTCTCTGCGAGGAGTTGGGATCATGAAGCTACCCGGCTCGATTGGATCCCTCGTAAGCCTTGAACACTAGTCTTCCAGAAACTGCAAGTCAATTTAGACTCTACCAGACCCAATCTGGAATTTGGAATCACTTGCTGAGTTCGATAAATTGAACATGGACATAGAGAATGGTTTGGTCGGGAAGATGAAGCATTTGAAAGTATTGAAGATGAGCTTCTCCGTCATAAGAAAGATAACTCATGCAGTATGGAAGCAGGATCAGCTAGAAAAATAGATGCAGAGCTTACTGAAAATTTGCTAATAGAAATTCCAATGATATTTGGAGATATTTATCTCAGAAGATTTTGAAACTGACATGTGCTGAGATACACCAAGTACCAAGGCTCCTAGAAATTCTTATATGTTTGCATATTCATACGGAATTGATGATGGCATTTCCAATCTCTCGAACTTGAAAAGCTTGAGAGATTTGTCTTTGGGATGCTGAAGGTCTCCTCGCCCCGTTGACCCATCTAAGCTTGTGGAAGATGCTATCCCCTGACAGATCAGTAGGTTAAACAAATTGGAGTCTTTAGAGTTGTCCTCTTCGACAATGACCACCATATCACCATATAATTTGCAGCTTTCTCATCTCAAGAGACTTGAACTCTCTAATGAATGTCTGGGGTGCCTCCCAACGCTCCCCTCAAGTTTATCGCCCTTATGAATCAAACATTGCCAGTCAACACAGTTACTGATAGACCTATCAAACTTGAAGAAACTATCAAAACTTGTAATTGAGTATTGCGGCCTTGAGAGTCTGGAAGGTCTTAGAACTTTGGAGATGAACAAACTCAACCAACTGGGCAGATTGGATGATCTGAGTGGCTTGAAGAAACTAATGGCATTTCATTTACGTCATTGTTCTAATTGGTCGATCGGAATTGATGGAAAATTTGTGGATCTCCTCCGTCAACTCAGTCTTGAAGCTTCCTAATGTATCAACGTTAAAGAAATTAGTATGGATAGGCATACTTCACCATTGATGATTTGGAAATTCAGCACATTATGGAGTAGCTTGATCAAACTTGGCAAGTTTTTGCAAAAGAGAAAAAATACCTGCTCTATTGAGTACTTTTTTATGATAAGAAGTGCCTCCTATTCTGTTATAGATATGAATTACAAAGAGGTTTATGCAAATCTTCTTTCCATGTGCACTTTGCTTGTCGACTTCTTATATGGTTATGTAATTCTATATACCCTTGTTCAGATCTTCTTTGTTTTAATTTGGTTTGGTTTAGATGTTTCGATGGCTATGAATTGCTAATTAGCTTACCTAGTGAGGCGAAGTCAGGTTATATAAATTCCAAGTGTAATATTTTGTCAATTTACTATACAGCGATTTATCAGAGTTATCCTTATAATTGCTGCTTCATACTACTGAACCTGAAGTTGTTCGATGCCCATGCTTCACGCAGGAGAACGTTAAACTTCATCATACCATATAGGATGAATTTGCTGTTATAAAGTGTGTGAAATATCTCAATACTTGTGGCATCACCTCTAGGGCAATAACCTACTCAAAATTGCAACGTGAAGAAGATAAATACTCTACATCGACAAACGCATGTCCAGTTTGTTTTTTGGGTGAAGCATCGTTCTTAATTGGATTCATAAGAGTTGAAGAGAAGGTGTAACAATTCTTAATTAAAATTAAAAAATGTTTCCAGTTGCAGATGGACTTGGTTTGACATTATCTAATGTTGAGGTAAATCTGAAATAATGACCCAAATCGTTTAATTTCAAATGAATAGAAGTGTGGCAAAAAAAATTTCAATCCTAAAAATTTTACAAGGAATAGTCTCACGCTGTCTGCAAGTTCTTATCTTTTCTTCTGTAATAGATAATCCGCAAGCATTAACCGAGTGAGTGAAGAGCCACACCTCCGAAAACTTTATCTGAAATAGAGAACTTTCATACTTGAGATCGGGGGGAGCCAATAGTCTTTTTAATCATTATAGTCATTGGAGAGGCTGCGCTGAACTTTTGCCGGTCATCGAAGAGGTTTCCGAGTTCAATCAGGAATTTGGAAATGCTAATTGAGTTGGATTCCAAATGGGATCTAATAAATCATGCCATGTTGTGACCTTATTTACCGCACTTGTTAGTGGCTCAAAGTTTTAAGACGATACTCATGAATAATTTTTCTCATCTACGTCGACACAAGACTATGCTTATAAATTGATTTTGCGTACTCTATTTTAATAGTGTTTTGTATAATAATCAGCACAAAGCATTGATTTATATGTCCAACTACAAGGCTTTGTGACGAGCAATTTATTGACACTAATGAGGGGTTAAATGCGAATGATGGAACGTGATCTTTTTCTTAATTTGATTGATCGCTAGGGGAGTGCTTTGATGAAGATCAAGCCCGATAATTCCACTGTGCTTTATGTTTTGGTGTCAATTCGGGCCTGAGCCCGACCAGCCCATTAAACTGGATTGCCCGGAGTTCACCTTAATTAAGATTAGGGGGAAACGAAATCGGTTGGGAGTTTGATGTCGCTTTTGTTGACTTGACTTTGAATGAATGCAGCATATTTATTTGGGGTGGTTGATTCTCATCACAAAATTTCCGCATTTACTTGGGGCAGTTGAGAAACATGATAATTGTGAACTTTGACAGGCTGAACCGATGCTGCAAGGTAGCAACCTTACTGGCCAATTTTGCGGCAAACTGGCCAATGACTCTATGCATATTCAGCCAATCCTATGGCTTCCAAGTTCAATGACCTAACGAAAAGTCATTCAAAAAAATCTTCCCTTTATTAGTTCCTTAATGTCCTGTGGTGAAGGAGGAACAAAGGTCTTGATACTTGAGGCCCACGTGCATCTATACGAGAAGTCTTTCTTTTCCTTTAATGTGGTAGGAGCTAGGCAATGGATCCCACCTGTTTTCTCTTCTTTATCCGAGCTTTGGAGTTAATGGAGGGAGCTCAATTTCGATTCAAATGGAAGGAGTCTCATTTAAAAGATATCTGCAACGAGACTTTGGGACTTTCGTTTTACAAAATTTAGTGGAGTATAATCAAAGCTATAGCTACCGGAAGACAAATTTGATTTTTCATTAGTCTCTACTCAAAGAATTTGATACTTCCCAAGAGTCCTTTTCGACTCATTGAGTTATCGTGATTTAATAACTTCAATCTTAAACTTTTTTTGTCTCACTCGGGTTTATGTCTGAAAAAACTTAAGAACTTATTAATTCCGGAAGGGAACATATTTACACCTCCGGATCTAGCGAGGTTTTATTTTCCTCCTTGGCTTCCCCACCATGTGCTTCCTCCATGTTGTCCTCGTCAAAATATCAATAAGGTTCTTAGGAGTTTGGCAGTGGATCCTACCTATTTTCTCTTCTTCCTCGAGCTTTTGAGCTAATGGAGAAAGCTCAATTTTGATTCAAATGGAAAAAGTCTGATTTAAAAAATCTTCAATGAATTTTTGGGCTTTCATTTAATAAAAAACATAAGTTTAGTGGAGTATAATCAAAGCTAAAGCTATCGGAGAACAAATTTGATCTTTCAATGGTCTCAATTCAAGGAATTTGATATTTTCCAAGAGTTTTTTTTACTCATCCAGTCATCCTGATTTAGTAACTTCAATCTTAAAATTTTTTTAGGATGCTCGGATCTATATCTGAAAAGACTCAAGAACTGATGAATTACAGAATGGAACATTTTTGCACCTCTGGATCTAGCGAGATTTTACTCTCT